TAGACCTGTTTGAGCAGGTAGAGACTGGCGTCCTCGTCTGGGCTGGTAGATAAACTGCAGAGGGATCCATCCGTGGGCTGATCACGTGCCGGGGCTGGTCTAGGATGAATATCTCCAGAGTATTCATAATAGACAATATCAGGGCCACTGGGATGGCATGACCTCTTCCACAGCATGGGAACCCAATGTAGAATCAGGGTTATCCTGAAGATGTAGTGCAACTCTCGACAAACATATTTTAAGCTTATAAGCACATAAATGGAAAAAAAAGCACTGAAACATTTGCTTTTATTTATGGATAATAATCTCATCTCCCCTCACAGGTACAACCCAGAAAACCTTGCAACGCTGGAGCGCTACGTGGAGACGCAAGCGAGAGAAAATGCCTACGACCTGGAAGCAAACCTTGCTGTGCTCAAGCTGTAAGTTACATAAGTTACCCAAACAGCAGCTATTCGACTTTAAGACACTGGATTTTTTTAAATTTATAAATAAAGGGAAAAATGTAATGATAGGGGGAAAAAAAAATAGGTGGAGGAAGTTTTATCCAATAGGGGAGTCAAGCCCTGACTATGGCCTGATTCTGATCATAAAACAAAGGCAGCTCAGTCTCTGCCAGCCTGCCTCTGCTGCTGGATGTCGGCTCCAGGAAGCAGCAGATTTTCCTTCGGTAGGAAAGAAAGCGACTTTTACACACTGCTAAAAATATTACCGACTCTAAATAATTTGGGGACAGAGGCAGCTCTTAGGAATATACCAGAATGGTCTTTATTTGATTTACCTGTTGGATACCTTGATGTTTGAGTGGTGATGACTCTAATCTTGACATCTGTGCAGGTACCAGTTTAATCCAGCATACTTCCAGACTCAAGTGACCTCACAGATTCTGCTGAAGGCGCTGACCAACCTGCCACACACCGACTTCACACTCTGCAAGTGCATGATCGACCAGACACATGTATCCTTTTGGTGCTTTTTCTCTGTGCGTTGCATTCTGGGAGATTTATATGTGACAGGTTCTCTGAATGTGTGTGTGTGTGTGTGTGCAGATTGGAGTTATGGAAACTTTAAGAAGTTGATTAGAAGTTCATACTTCTGTCCCACTTTGGACAGACATCTTTTTTTTTTTCTTTTTTTTTTGCTGAGTATGAATATTAATCCTTTTACACTGCTGCAGTAGAAATATCTCCATTGTGCCTGATGGAGGTCCACCTCCTGTTATACCCAATGTAATCCTCAGTGAATTGAGCTAACCAGCTAAAATAATTATTTCCTCCCATTCTAGACAAAGTTGAAATAGTATTGATATGTTGTCTGAATTCCACGTCCATGCAGGTCATTAACAATGTGAAATCAGAATTTTCTGTAGGTGTTAAATGTTTGTTGTTATAAATTACTGGAAGAAAAAAAATATCTGTGCCAAAAAGATTAAAAGCACTATGAGTTATTATTTATTTTAGATGCAACCCCCCCCCCCCCCCCCCCCACACACACACACACACACACACACAGTATTCAGCTCCATGGGGCCCTGTTCATGGTGGAGTACCTCGAGAGCGCTCCCTTTGGAACAGGAAGTCTATCGAGTGGCAGTTCTTGCTTATATCAGAAATTCTCTGATTAAGGCTGTATTGGTGGTGTTAGAGAATCTTTGTGCAGGGCTGTGTATAAACAGATCAGGGTGGTGCTGGTGGCGGAGCTTGGCTCTGTGTTGGGGTCAGGGGGGCATTTCCTTGACTACTGTGTCGCAGCAGGAGGAGCGGCCCATCAGACAGATCCTCTATCTGGGGAACCTGCTGGAGACGTGCCACTTCCAGAGCTTCTGGGTACGAAACTCACACTAAACCACATGCACATAACTCTGCATCCATGTAAGAGAAACACAATAAAACCTCAACAGGGCCATCAGCTGAAGGGCTGTGCTGAGGACACATGGTTTCCAGAAACTATTAGTATGGCCTTTTTTCTCAAGCAACAAAGTAGCTCGTAGAATTCAGCTTTTAGGCTGTTTTCTGCTTTTCTTTTTTTTTTTTAGCGTCTCCTTTCCCAGCAGGAGCAGCAGAGTTCAAAGGGCAAGTCAAAGTGGTTGGTCCAGACGCTAGCGTGTGTTGATTGGTTGACCATAGAAACAAGATAAGATAAGATAAGATAACCTTTATTAGTCCCACACGTGGGAAATTTGTTTTGTCAAGCTCTCAATGTTAGCATTTAAAAAAAAAATGGAATGAAAAATGTGGACACACATTAAAAATTGTGTCCCGTCCTCCTGCTTCTACTTAAAATTGACATTAATCACCAAAACGGATCTCCGACCTGCCGGAGTCATCGGTGCTCATCTTTCCCTCAAACCTCGCCTGCTGCTGTTCCCTTCGTTTTAGTGTGAACTGAATGAATGAATTGTGTCCTAATCTTTCTTAAGTAGTTTGTTTTCGGCCCAACTTGCTCTTTGAATGAAGTATTCTGCTTCTATTTGTCGAAATGCTTTTGAAGCACATTTAAAAACAATTTTTATTATCATTTTAATCCTAATTGCCTTTCAGGACATTCCTGATTTCTGTGTTGCGATTTTTCTGGTTTTCTCGTGCTGATGTTTGTTTCCTCTCCTCTCTGTCCCGTCCCGTCCTGGACAGACGAGTCTAGAGGAGAACAGAGAGCTCATCGATGGCATTACTGGTTTTGAGGACTCTGTGCGCAAGTGTGAGTATCGTCCTCTGACTCAGCACGTTGGGCAGCACGCCACTACACTGAACACAAACAGCTGGTTTAATTGAACAACCTCAGACACAGACACGCCCACACAGTGCAGTGATGCAAATTCTGAGAATAAACCACATGAAACTGTTTGAACATGATAAAAACTCGAATGTTTTCTGTTTAGTTATCTGCCATGTTGTGGGCATCACCTACCAGACCATCGATCGCCGCTTACTGGCCGAGATGCTCGGAGACCCGCTGGGTAAGACCTTTGACACACACGTGTAAAAACCTGGCAGACGGCTCAGTGCAATCAACCTTTGATATTTAAAGACTATAAGTTGTTTTGACTGTGTGACACGTAACAACGCGCATCTGTTAAATCAGCAGCTACAGAAGCTTCTAATGGGCACAGCTCAACATAAATCGGCCGTCTTTAAAGTAAAGCGGACGATTGGACTCCATGTTGGTGGTAAATCTGTGTGAACCTCTGTTTTCTGTGTGTGCAGACACGCAGGTGAAGGTGTGGATGAACAAGTACGGCTGGACGGAGAACGAGGATGGACAGATCTTCATCTTCAACCAGGAGGAGAGCGTCAAGCCCAAGAACATCGTGGAGAAGATCGACTTTGAGAGTGAGTGTTGCTGCTGCGCGTATTAGTGCTGAGAAGTCACAGCTAATCAAAAAAACCCACCGAGAGTCAAACCACTCGAACGCCGCATTGTTCTAACTACTTGTGTTGTTTTACAAAAGCAAAATCGCCGGGGTTGTAATTAAAAAAAATGTTTTTTTTAGAGAGGGATCTCATTTGTATCAGCATAAAATCCATTTGTTTATTCTGTTAAGTAAGACTCATTACTGTAAGACAATGCACGCCACCACCCCCTCGTAGGCCTGGCAAACCCGGGTCCTTGCAGGTCTTTTGTGTTTTATTTGTTTCACTGTGACTGGAAGTGAAGTCAGAGATTTCATATTCATGCCTCATTTCCTTCTCTTTTCCCTGCTCTCCCTTTGTTTTCCTTTTGCAGGTGTATCCAGCATCATGGCCACATCTCAGTGATGGAAACGCATAAATACACTCACACACAAACAACCACACGCAGCAGTTAGGATGGAGTCAGACAGGTCATTAGTTTTCATAATCACAAGTTTTCTCAATAAAAGTAATTTATCATTTCCAGCCTGTCTGCGTTTGCTTCTTGATTGATTGATTTTTGATCTGTTCTCCTAAACGGTATCAGGGCGTTGGCTGAGAGCTGTTGGGAAGCCTTAAGGAGTCTTAAAGCTGCTACTTAGTCATCCTGTGGTGAAGGTGTTGTAATTTTAGGTTTGCTGTGTGTTGAGTGTGTGATGGTGTAAGAGGAAGTTGGGTGACTTATTGTTCACCCGCTCAGCAGCTTTGTGTTCTACACAGAGGTTTCCTCATCACTACTAAAATCTCAAATTCATGGGTGAGAAATGCGATTTGTTAGTCTAAAGTTAGAGTGCATCAAGGACCACTGATAACATTACAGTCTGTAAAATATGTCAGTCACCTTTTGGTTTGTAAAGTTCCCGTTATAAAGCCTCAAGTGGGGTTTTATTGATGTCACCATCTTAGATTAGATGAAACTTTAATCCCTCGGGTGGGTTCCTCCAAGAAATTCGGTTTCCAATAGCACAGCACCGACAGAAGTTACACATATGTAACTACAGAGACGTATATAAATACTGCGTATACAAAAGGGATAAATAGGAATAAGAATACAAGGGAATTGCACATTTCAAGTATTGTGAGTAACTTTAATAATAGTCTTTAACATGGTGTGAGAAGTCATTTACAAAATAAGAGTCAGTGTCAGTTAATAATATTTGCAAGGAGTAAATGGCCCATAAAGATATCTGGAAAGTGTTAACTAAGGTCAAAGGTTAAGTGAGCACAATTTCACATTTTCTGCAGATATCTAAACAGTCTAGGCTTCTTTTCCCACTTTCAGGAGGCGCCCCCTGCTGGTAGATAAGGTGTAAGGCACTTGAGTTTTAACTTCACAGTCTGTGGCAAAATTTGTAAGATTTGTAACAGTTACTGGAATTGGACACTAGTTTTCACACGCGTGTGTATTGGTAATGCTCCTGTGGCCTCTCCACTGAGGAAATCCTGGAAACCTTCAGCGGGTTTTCCGCCTTTACTGACTGAACACATCTGGGACTGTCTCACGCAACGCAATAAAAACCCTCCGGGACTGTTTTTCCCCCAGGTGAGCATCTACCTGGGCGGATTTATCAGGGGGCGTGGCTTATCTGTGCACCTTATAAACAGGAAAGAGCGCCGAAAGTCAGGTAGAGCACGGTTAATGTTCGCCATGAGAAAGTCTTTGAGTGTATCGTCTGACAGCTCCCTGCCGCCGCCGGAGGACGATGTGGACTCGGTGTGCTCCGACGAGCTAATGGGCTCGCAGTCCCGCCGCTGGCTGGCGGAAATTCTGAGCGGGGGCATACCGCCGGAGAGCGGCGAAGTGAGCCCGGCGAGCGGGCTGTTCGTGGACTTTAACTTCCCCATGGGAGAGCTGGAGATGCAGCCCGGGGTCAAGTGGAAGCGACCAAAGGTAACTACGAAAGGGAGAACAAACCCGTAACAGCTGCGTAACGTAAATGCATAAAAAACTCCCACAGAGTAAATACTGCAGTATCGAGCTCTCTTCATTTACCTATCACACACACACACATATGTATGCGCATTCTTCTTCAGCACATTTCAAAAGGTAAGTGTGCTTTCTGCTCCACAGCTAATAGTCACTTTGCAGATTACAGATGTTGCACATACGCACAGTGACACCATCCTGCAGGGCAGTAAAAGACCAACACAAGTAGCGTAAGCTGCTCTAATAAAATAGTAACGGATTTCAAATAATAGATAAACACAGGCTAGTTTGCACTGCCCGAGTGTTTTCAGGTGTCACGCAGACACAACAACAGTACACGATGCAGTTTTGAAGTGCTTTACTTGTATTTCAATTTCATGCTGCCTACAATTAAGTATTAGTACAGCGTGATGCGTGTAGCTGGTTGTTCAGAGTTCTTTAAAACCAGCAGCTCTCTTCTTCCTTCGGTAATAATGTTGTAATCTCTGTGTATGTCTACATTATGTGCTTGAAGTTGTCTGGTAGTAAAACTTAGGGGTGGGTTTTTATAATCGATTCATCGATTAAAATCGATTCTGGCTTGGATAACGTAAAATCGATTCATTAAAATCCTGAATCGATTTTTTAATATAAATTTATTTTGTCCGAAATGCCAGAATCTCTGGTGACATCTCACAAAATTTCAAGAACCACCAAACAGTAAATGAGAGCAGGTACAGGGATTCTGCACATAGACTTAAACACAGGGCGTGACCCGCGGATCAGAATCAGTTAGATGTCGCCTTTCTCACAGTCGGGGCTGAAAGCCGACAGCTCGCTGATCCGGGTCCACGCTTTGTGTTCACGCCCTTTATGCGCTGATTCTAAAGCTGTTAGTTTGATCTCTCTCCAAACAATATTGACCGAACCAGCAGCAAAAGAAGATCCAAACGCTTCACATAAACATCGTCATGAATTCACTCTTTTACTGTTTTGCTTCCATTGCGATGCGCAGCTCTCTCTCTCTCCCTCTCTCCCTCTCCCTCTCTCTTTCTCTCTCTCTCGAACAGTTTTGCTTTCTTCATTATTCGCTTGCTTGTTACGCACAAGTCTACTGTTGCTTACAGCGCTGTCGGCCGCTGTTTTTTTCCCTTTTACATTCTTCCGAAAAGAAAACCTCATTTCTGCTGTTCAATACTGAACAAATTTAAACTTTTTAAAATTATTCAAAATGCAAAATGCTTAGCCGTGTGTCTAATAAAACCGCTGTAACGTCAGAGGTAATGTTCATTAATTAATGGTTTTCTTTCGTTTTTGATGTACTGCAGAATATTTTTTATAAAATCCCAGGCCAGGAAAATCACCTACATGTTTTTCTGTGTTTTATCTTCAGCTACTTTGACACAAAGGCATCTGCTGTGATGCTCACAGCTTGGATAAAGTCTTGCGAGTGTCAGCTTCCTTTTTATAGATACAAAAATATGTAAATGTACTGATCTGAATTATATTTCTGACTGTCAAAATTTCCCAGATTTAAATTGAATCGAATCGAATCGAATTAAATCGAATCGTGGATCGAATCGATTCGGGACCTTGTGAATCGGAATTGAATCGATTCTAGAAATCAGTGACGATACCCAGCCCTAGTAAAACTCCTTTGCTCCTGCCACCACAGAGAAACAGAAGGATAATCTTTTAACATTTTACATCATTGTGCACATTTTGACTTTAGAGTTTCATATCTGGGATCTTCGCGTGTTTTGCATGTGAATTTTTATCTGTTGTGCTGCACCACAAATGTTTTACTTATTAACTTTTAAATATGTAAATATATACATACAGTAAAAAAAAAAATGGTATATTGAGAAAGCGTTCCTCCTTTGGCGAGGATGAAAAAGCTGAACGTAATGATTTATTCCTTTTTTTCTAGACATCTGTTAGACTGTTAAAAAGTTTCATGTTTTTGATGCGATATTGTGAATAAAAGAGTTGAAATACAGTAAAACACACAATATTACAAAGCTTCAAAATAAACTCCCACAGAGCTCCATGGGTTAAGTTAGGAAGTGAAGTGAAAGCCTTTATTGTCATTATACTGGTATAATGAGATTTAAAACGGCTCCATAAAGGTGCACATGTGCTTAACACATTATAAAAAAAAATACAATAATATAACTATACACGTAATATAAATACACTGCACTGGGTGACACAGACAGACAGCCAGAGAATGATGATACAGTCAGTGCAAATTAGTTTTGTGCATGTTTTGAGTTGAGTATGGTGATGGCTTTGGGGAAGAAGCTATCCCCGAGTCTGTTTGTTCTGGCCCGTATGGATCTGAAGCACCTGCCAGAGGGGAGTAGGTTAAAAAGATGGTAACCGGGGTGGCTGATGTCCTTCAAGATGTTTCTGGCCCTGCTGAGACAACGGGAGTTATAGATGGCAGACAAAGAGGGCAGGGGACAGCCACTGATTTTTTTTTTGCTACGTTTACCACCCTCTGTAATCTCTTCCTGCCTGCCTCTGTGCAGCTGGCGTGCCACACTGTCACTGCATAGGTCAGCAGGCTCTCGATGGTGGATCTATAGAAGGTCACCAGCAGTGGGGTGTTTAGTTGCTCCTTCCTGAGCACCCTTAGAAGTGTAGCCACTGCTTGGGCCTTCTTGACTAGCACCGTGGCGTTGACTGACCAGGAGAGGTCTGCAGAGATGTGGACACCAAGGAGTTTGAAGGATTCCACTCGCTCTACAAATTCACCGTTGATGTGCAGAGGGGCAGGGGCAGCTCTCTTCCGCCTGAAGTCCAGGATGAGTTCCTTGGTCTTGGTGATGTTAAGTGCCAGGTTGTTTACTGCACCCAGCTTCAGGACCTCATTTCCCCCTGTGACCAGTACTGTGTGTGATGCTGTAATTATCATTACAGAGTAACAGTCACATTTACACAATAAAGGCTGTATTTATACTGATTAAAATACTTTTAAGAGCAGCTGAGGTCACTTTGAGAACACCTGGATGGTTTTTTAAATACCAGGTAAAGGCAGATGGACAATAACTAACACCACATGTTATAACAGGACGATTCCACTCAGCGGGTCGAATTGCAGTTTCAAATTACACTTAATTTCACACTTATTTAAGTCGTTATTTTGTTTCTCTGAGTCTCTGTGGCTTTCTTTTACCTTTAACATTAAAAACTCACCTGGTAAAAATCAAAATTCTGGTGGATCTCTGTGAATCACTGTTACCAGTTACAGCCTTGTGCCAGATGTGAACCAGTGGTTTTTTTGCCCTGTAGTGTCCGAGTTGGTCAACTGGAGAGTTACAATCAGTGCGTGACAGAGTCATATTTGCAAGGGTGTGTTTCAGAAAGGCTCCACAGAGATAAAATGAAGGCAACCCAAACCCTGCAGGGCAACAGGAGGGAAACAAAGACAAGGCTCAGTGTTGTCCTTTAGTTCTATATTATCCTGCATCCGCTCGCTTTGCTTCTCTTCTTTCTGACTTGAGGGCTGGGCAGGATGCAGGGTGGGTGAGATTAAATCTGCTGCTAAACTCTGTGTTGGCTAAATATGTAAAATATGCAACTAAGGTATCTGAACAGGAAACAAAGAATGCAGCCTTTCTGTTCACTTGCTTTAATAGAATATAATGTACGGTATATACTATAGTTTGGCAGGTTTGTTTTATATTTGCTAATATATGTAAGATAAAACAAAATAACACGCATGTTCACGTTACACCGGTTAAGGCGCTCGTTAAAGTGATGGCTCACATTTCTGTCTTCACATGCAGAGTACAAATTTTGAGCATGTAACTTCTTGTTTCATGGTTTTATAACTCAGATCGTAGAGCTTCATGGTTCTAATGATTGACACTGATGAGATAATCACATCATCTCAGTGACTGATTGAGAGGTTTTGCATGTACCACGCTGGCTGAAGTTCAGTTTGACGATAGAGAGATTTCCCCTCCTTGCGGGAGCCTGGATAGCTCAGTCGGTAGAGCATCAGACTTTTAATCTGAGGGTCCAGGGTTCAAGTCCCTGTTCAGGCGATGTTGCTTTTAATCTGTTATAACACTGTCAAAGGGCCTGTTGTACCAATGGATTTACTGAGTTTATCTGAAGATTGTTGAACAGAAAAGATATCAAACAGCTAACTAAGCAAACACTTAACTCCTGTGTCATTCAAGTCTTTAGGACAAACATCGACCCGTAGTTACATTTTTGCAGCATTGCATTAAAATTGAGTTCCGGTTGTGGCATAAGTTACAAAGTAGATCTGACACAGAGGTATAATTCAGGTGTATAGCATCACACCAAGCTTTGCCTTAACTGGAGGCACTTCTTTCAGAGTATCATGGAAACGCTCTTGACACATTAAAACTTGTTCACCTAAAAACATTCCCTTTGGCCAGTTTCAGGGTGTGTTCCATGTCTAGAAATAGATTTTATTTAGGTTTTCATGCTTAAAGCAGTGTAGTATTCATTAAGATTGAGTCAGTGAGTTCCTATAGATAGATCACGGAGTCTGTACTGACTGTTATTGTACAAACTGTATCTACACAAGGCTTACTGCCTGAATGGAGCACGCAGGATGCAGTGGGCACAAACTTGCTTTCTGTAAATTCCCTCACATGGAATCAGAAACAGAACTTCCTGCTGCTGCTGACTCAAAAGACTTCAGATGGCAGTGAAAAGAAAAATGTCAGAAGTTCTTTGTCTTTGGTCCAAACAGGAAGAGCTGGAAGCACCACAGAGGTAAAAGGACAGAGGTTTAAAGTCTGATCCAGTGTTTGCAAGAATAAAACAAAGCTGAATCCATAAATGTTAAATATTTGAAATAGGATATAAAGTGAACTTTTCCTTCAGGTATTACTCATCTTCATATTCTATGTATTCAGTGTAACCTGAAGTGTAGGCTAATATAACAGCAAACGGTATGTTAGCAAACTTCCTGGAGTGCGTCATCCACAGCTGCAACATGTCTCTTTCATTTATCGCTGTTTGCATCTAAATACCAAGAAAACTGTTCAGCAGTGTGAAGTTCGATGTGTCTGTTTACAAAATCCTATAACCTGTATAGACTGATGCAAACTAAAGAAGACAGTTAAAGGCAGACATTTCTGAATGGGCAGGCTGTGAATTAGTACAACACACACTGATTTAGGGAGAAGGACACATGTCACAGGAACACCATCACACAGAGAGTTGTCCTTCCTCTTACGCTGCATTAAGCCAGTGTTGACAGAATGAGGCCATAAATCCTGCATCGCTCCCTCCTAAATCGAACCTCTGAGTACTTACCTCAGAGACGCTTGTCACTCGTGTGTTCACCATCGTAGTTTGACACCTCACTGTCCAGGAAATCCATAGAAATCCTGTAACTGTGGACTCTTTACCACAGACATATGGATTAGACACATAATGTTACTCAATTAAGTCAAGTTTACTTTTAAAGCACTTTTAATTTTATTCCCATCATGCAAAAAGTAAAAAACAAACAAACAAACAAATACAACATACAAGTGCATGTAAGATTAGAAGGTTTTGCACATTAAAAAAATGAATGCTATAAGTGTTTAAAAAAATTCTATGTAGTAAGAGTAGAGGGCAGGTGTATGGGAGATGGAGGTAAGCTCAATAGAAACAAAACAGAATTCCTGTGTATGAATGAGATGTAAGAGTGAAGCTGCAAAGATCAGAGGTAGTGAAGATGAGTCAGCCATCCAAAGCAATGCATACAGCACAAGAAGAGAGTGCAGACAGGGTGGAGTGGGAGAAGATGAGTGGGGGTGATTCGTAACAGTATGATAGCAGCAAGAGTCAAAGGGAAGGTTTCAAAGATGCCAGTGAGACCTGCTGTGAGGAATGGTTTGAAGAAGGTGACGGTCATGAAACGAGAAGCTGAGCTGAAGCTTTTAAGATTTTGACTGGGAGTGAGCAGGATGGACAGGATTAGAAATGAGTATATTATCCACACATTTATCTCATATCGTTAGCTCTTGATATCAAAGCCAACACGTAGTTACATTAACAGCTAATCATTTCAACTGCTAATATCCACATTTTTAGGTAAGAATTTGAACTGTTCCACTAACCATTAGAGCCTGAGCAGCTCTGTAGAAAAGCATCAGCCTTTTGATCCTGGGTTCAAGTTCCTGTTCATGCTTTGGGGTTTAAAAATGTAAAGTATGCTGTCTTTGCTGTGTTGTACCACACAGGTTACTTCAAGAACACGGTGCTCTATAGCTTTCACTCATAAAAAGGTGCCCATAGTTTTTTTTCACTGATTCCACCATTAATGTCATAATCAGGGGGGATTCTCTCATATCTGTTAACTATGTGCAACCTAGATAAGTGTAAACGTAGCAAACGTTGGTGCCACACACATTTTTGAAGACTGCATATGCTGGTGAATACACAGACAGTTTTTCAAAGTGTTTGTACTGATAACAAGTCATAACTCTTTGCAATCTGAGCAAGTCCAAGTATGCGGAATGACTCGAGTCGCCACTAGAGGAAGTTGTGGGGACGTCATAGATCTCAGGTTATAATAAAAGTTGCTTCTTATCTTATCTCAGTTACTTTGTAATTGTCACACGAATGATCATTATTTATAAAAATTTGATACATTTTATTTATGCACCTTCAAAAATTCTATCATGATAAACACTGAACATTGGTGAAACTCATGTCAGTCTTCCTGTCTGACTCGGAGTCACACATCCGGCAGTGTGCCAAGTTTGTGCCACAATGTTCTGATGGATGAACTTTTATCTGCCTCTCCCTTTGGCTCTGCAGACAAGTCAGATCAAGTTTATTTGCGTTCATCTTCCTGCTCTTTCTTGTCTTTGTTTCAACCAATCATTGCTCTGTTTCCAGGAACTCTGTTCATCACCTCAGTTCATAGTAGATGGCGCAACGAGGCTGGATGTTCGCCAGGGGAAACTCAGTAAGTAGAGATCTCCTGTACTACTTAGTTGTATAAGCTAAGTATTTTCAGTTCAAGTGGACCTATTCTGCTCATTTCCACCACCTTTTCATTCTTGGACTCCACCAGAGCAGCTTTGCATGATTTGCTGTTCAGTCTAATCCTTCGCGTTGCCCACCGTCAAAAATAAGCTGCTATAGCTTATTTCTGACAGCCCTTGAACCCCAGGAGTGCACTGATGTGGTCACCAGAGCTGGCCCCACCCATTCAACATAGCACTACTGATTCCAGGAAATGCCCTGCAGCGTGTTTTACAGGCCTCCTAGAAATGCTAAGTCTGTTTTTGACAGGAGGGAGGGCAGGAGTCGGATAAAGACACAGCACAGATCCAGTCTGGATAAACAACCTCGTGCTGATGTTGATACTATTGTCCTGATTCAATTCAGTTCAGTTTAATTTTATTTATATAGTACCAAATCACAATAACAGTTGCCTCAAGGCACTTTATATTGTAAGGTAAAAACTCACTACAATAACACAGCAGAGAACTCCAACAAACACTCGACCCCCTATGAGCAAGAGCTTTGGCGACAGTGGGAAGGAAAAACTCCCTTTTAGCAGGAAGAATCCTCCAGCAAAACCAGGCTGTTCTGCTGGAAGATTATGTGTATAAACACATAATAAGTGGAAAATGTGACTAAAAAAAGAAATCCTCCAGCAGCCTACACCCTCAAACCAAGTTTTAAGACTAGTCTTAAACGTAGAGAAGATCAAAGAGATGCTGGAACCTCTCCCAGCTGACACTGGGTCACTTTGGAGGGTGGGAGGGGTGCACCCTGGAAAGAGTTCAGGGCCATTGAAACTGTGTATATCTCTGTTGCAGTACTTGCACTGGTGACTGGGTAAAATTAACTGAGCTGAGTGGCATCAAGGACAAAACAAATCGTATACAGTAGCTACATCAGATTGAGAACCTCAGGTCTTTTCTGTTCCTTCCACACAGGTGGGTCTGTGTCACACCCTGAAGACCAGGTTAAACATGTTCCTCCTTCCTCAAATACAACAGTGCAAACAGCTCTCTGTAGATGCTGTATGTCAGCGTTGAATAGCTGTTACACCCAGCACATAAAGGTTTAATGGAGACTGTAGGTGAAAGATGGTGCACGGCTGGAAGTGATTTAAAATGGAAAGAGGACCATCCAGCATTGTGCACTGAAGCTTTAAATGATGTCATGACCTACTTCATTCTTTTCCAGGTGACTGCTGGTTACTTTCGGCTATAGCGTCTCTCTCCATGAATCAATCGCTGCTCAAGAAGGTTGTGCCTCTGGGCCAGAGCTTCCAAGATGGATACAGTGGTTGCTTCACTTTCAGGGTACAAAAGCTCTGTTTAATATGCAGTTATCTTCTTCAAGTGAATTCTCAGCCTAAATCAGATGATATTCTCTCTCTCTTTCTCTCGCTGTGTAGTTCTGGCAGTACGGTCAGTGGGAGGAGGTACGGATCGATGACCTGCTGCCCACTGTGGACAACAATCTGATCTTCCTCAGCTCCCCAGAAAGACAAGAGTTCTGGAGCGCCCTGCTGGAGAAAGCCTACGCCAAGTGAGTCCCAGTCAGCCGCTGTCTAGGTGTTCATGTCTCACTGCACATTTCAGCCTCTCTGATAGACATTTGGTCTTCTTTTGCCTGTTACATAACCACAAATCCATATTCCATATCCATACGTTTCACCTAAACCCCTTAATTTTATCCAAAATTTTAGCATCATACTATGAATCTTTCCTGAATTCCAGGTCTTTCAAGTTCGAGTTTTCCCACCATTTCTGAGCCCTTCATAAGTATAGGAGATAATGACATGACAGCATGTGTTTTTCTGCTCAGAACGAATCACTGCTAGAAGATCAGCCTGGTGTCGTAATGTTAATAAAAAGGGAGAGCGTTCATATGCTGTAAGCTGCCACCTATCCCACACGGTGATATGACTAGGGATGGGTATTGATAAGATCTTCACGATTCCGATTCCATTTTCGATTCTGTTTAACGATTCGATTCTTTATCGATTCTCTTATCGATTCTTTTTAAAAAAGGAGAACACTAAGGTCGATTAGCTTAGAACTTTGTTTTATATCTTCTCTTTGAACAAGAAAGAAATTTAGGAGTAACATGGCCTTACAAACCCAACAGTGAGATCTTAAGAGATCCAGCCTACGGCTCTTCAATGGGTCACGGGGTCCCCAGGAAAAATAATTGTAAATGTAAAATAATAAAATAAATATTCTTCTGTAGCAATTACACATGAATATCCAGTAATGTCCCTGCCTACAATTAAACACATTCACTTACCGAAAATCATCTGCTGTGGCAAATGGGTTCAAGCCTTTGACCACAAACTTAGTCACTCCTCGGTGACATTGGTCTATCCTGGCCTGAAAGGAGACGCTACCGGCAGACTGCAGCGAGAACTGCCAGCATCTGAGCCAGACTCTGTCTCATCATGGTCACTAAACGCACAGTAATGTCAGGTTTTGTAATAAGGCAGATCGCGCTAACATAATATGCACTGTTAGTTGATTATTTACCTGCCGCATTAACGGGAGAGGACGTGCAAACGTTACCGCTGCTGCTGGGTTGAGACTCACGAGTCGAGCGGAATTAAAAACACGACATTCATTTAAGGTCATCACGTGTTTTGTGAGCAAATGCTTTTGCATATTCGCAGTGTTTCCTCCCTTAAATGAAATATCCACTTTGCAAGTATTGCAAGTTGCCCTGTTGTGATCCGTTCTCGTAAAGTATAACCAAACTTTTGAGCGTTTGAGCCGCCGTGTTTCCTGCCAGGTAAATGACGCTCCGCAACGTGGTGACGTCATTCGGGGCAACTGGAATCGATAAGGGAATCTTTTGCAAAAATGGCAAACACTTCCAAGGAATTGAAACAGTGGGAACCGGTTCTCAACAAGAACCGGTTTTCGATACCCATCCCTAGATATGACGCTTGAAGAATCACCCAAACTATACTTTTTGAACGTCTTGATGCATTCTCAATCATCCAGGAAAGTAAATCTCCAAAAGCTGATTCTGTGGACGTAGCGTTTTGTGGGAGAAACGTTTCGTCACTCATCCAGGTGACGTCTTCAGTCTCAGCTGACTGCAAGTTTCCCCAAATCTTATAAACAGTGCATTTGCATAATGACTGAAACCAGCACACTGAAGGAACAATGGGCTGGGAGGTCAGTTTCTTAATCTTAATTATGCAAATTCTCATGACCATTGATCAACAACCACTGATCAATGGCCATGAGTCCCATTCACAGAGAGTTGGGGAATGGCTGCAATCACAGGTACGCTACGTCCAGATGAACAGAATCAACTTTTGGAGATATACTTTTTGAAGTTTTCTCCAGTGAATTATCAGATACAAGACAAAACATGAAGGGTACAGGTGCTTATTTCTGTTCCTGTGTGTGATGTTATATCCCATGCTGCTGATGCTGAAAACTGAATTTAGAGGAAATAAAAAATATGTTGTTTTTTTTACATAGTGCCATGCGGAGTGAACATTTTCCAGATTTTGTTGCATTTATATGGAAAAAAATAAATATGACTATATAGCAGCAAGAGAAATGATACAACAAATAAACATGTAAACATGCTGAAATGGGTAAATAGTAACTAACATCCAGTGTCTGTGTTTTAAAAGATTCTAAATTTCAGCGTCTGTTCCTACTCAGAGTATTGTGGATAATTTGAGCATCTGTTCTTCACACTTTAAGAACAAGTAGTTGATAAGTGAGTGAAAAAGTGGGCATAACAATGATAAGGATAATAATAATATCTCAAACATTAAATGTCCCATTGTTCAAACCTTTCCTGGGCAGATTTGTTAGTCAGAGTTCAGTTAGAAAGACAAATTCAGGAGATCTTTAGAAAACCGTTCAGAAAACCTCTGATATTTCCCTTTCTGTCCCAGGTTGAAGGGTGGCTACCGAGCTCTGGACATGGGCTTCCCTCATGAGGCCATGGTGGATATGACGGGCGGGATGACAGAGGTTTTACAGGTGGCCTCACTTCCCAGAGACTTGCCGACCTTCCTCAGACACCTGCTGGTCAGAGGAGCACTCATCAACTGTGCCAACTGCCAGGTACCGTAAGAACCTGTGAGGGATGATTTAGATCTGAACCTGTTGGGAAACACGGAGGCGTTCCTGCACTCATTTATGAGTCATATTGTTTGTTTTCCTTCTGTCCTCACTGTGGTTGGTTGGCTTTTCCCCCCTCCAGGGTCCTCTGGAGCACAGGAATGAACTGGGAATCATGTTTAGACATGCCTACGCTCTGACTGCAGTGGATAAGGTAACTGTCACTGAACACGGCCAAGAAATGTTCATAAGTCCTAATTACACATAAATACAGATGTGAATCTCAAAAGCAGGACAAATTAAATGCAGTGTTTCTGTATCTTAAGTAGAAATCTAAATGACTCACAGCTGCTCTTCACTGCACTCTCACCTGATTTGCCTCCTCTCCTGCCAGGTGAGGACGACACTCGGCACTGAATATCTGGTGCGAATCCTCAACCCTTGGGGCAACACAGAGTGGGAGGGGCCCTGGAGTGACTTCAAAGGGTATGAAGATCATCCAATGAGCAGTGCTGAATAAAACTTACTCTAAATTTAAATCCTTTCAGTCAACTCAAAAATGGCATCAGAAGAAGAAGTAGCTGGTAATGCATAGGAGGAAGTGAGGGGAGTGAATGGGCTAATCGCAGTAATCGTGGGCCATCGTGCAGAGCACAGATCACAGTTTCTTGTGGTTCGTGGTTTTTATTACTGTTGTCTAAAGTCAAATGTGAGATTAAAATTGAGTGTCTTGTGAAAAAAAAGACACTGAACAAAGGGAAGTACAAAATCACAGAAAATAACATAAAAACATCTTAAGGCTGTGAGAAAATTGGAAAAAATAGTTTAATAATCTTAAAATAATTGCTGCGTTTGCACTGATCTCATAGCTCAATTTACTGCCTCTTTAATCTGAATCCATGAGGTCACATACAAACCAAATTTCACCTTACTAACTCCCCTTCTTGAGTACATACTTCACACATTTACAGCACGTTTACAAACCTCTGTGTTTGCAGTCAAGAGTGGAAAACGGTGAGCATCGAGGAGCAGAAACGACTCGGCAGAGTCAGACAGGAGGACGGAGAGTTCTGGTGAGTTTATCGTAATGTCATACCAGCGACTGTCACACAACTTTTATGGGGCCCCCCTGTGGCTGTTCCTGCTCATTACAGGGTAGATACTCAGCAGGGATGAATGAAACGGTGACAACGATGATTAAAACGACACCAATAGTTCCACACAGAGCAGATGAGATGATTGCAGTGAAGAAACCAAATGTGTCTTTGTTTTTGAACTTGGATGTGCCAATGCTATTCAAACACATTAAGTATTTACAGACGAAGGAAATCTGTTTGGCCATTCGCTCTGTTCCTCTCTCTCTCTGTCAGGATGTCGGTGTCGGACTTCCGACAGAACTTCGAGGTGATGGAGGTCTGTCACCTGACGGAGGCTCTCGGTGAACCAGGCTCCAGCATGTTGCCTTTGAGCTGCATTATGCATCATGGCAACTGGGCGCCGAATATCACAGCAGGAGGCTCTCCTCAAGGAGGTAAGACGGGTGATGACGTGTGTCAAATGTTTTGTGCCTCACTCTTAACTCTGAACCTCACAAGCCCAGCAGCTGGTTTTAAAACTGGAGATAAAGCTGGGATATTTAAAACTAGACAGAAGTTCACCTCAACTATCACAACTGAATTTAAGAGTAGGGGCCAATTGGCAAACAGTTAGTTTCATGTGTTAATTAGTCACTATTAGTCTTAATCTTTGCGTTTGCTGGCAGTGAACAGAGAGTCTTTAAAAGAGCCACGCCTGAACAGGGACTTGAACCCTGGACCCTCAGATTAAAAGTCTGATGCTCTACCGACTGAGCTATCCAGGCTCTGAAGGTTGTGTAGTGCACTCTGATTTTAGCATCAAATATGACGAAAAATACAAGAACAATGTTTTAATATTTCTTGCAGCCGACACAAAGGAGTCTCTCCTGAGAGTCAATTTTAACTGATGCTCACCAGGGAAAGACCAAAACTTTAGCGCCTCCTGCTGCCTGTGGACAGATTCCTCAGGCATCTTCCAGAAATGGTCACACTCTTTTCTGCACAATTTTTCAGTAGGTGCAGTTTTTTTTCTTGTTGTCTAGAAAATACAATACTAGTCAAAAGTTTTAGAACACCCCAATTTTTCCAGTTATCTATTGTAATTCAAGTTGTTCAAGTCCAACGAATAGCTTGAAATGGCACAAAGGTAAGTGGTGAACTGCCAGAGATTTAAAAAAGGTAAGGTTACCCAAAACTAAAAAAAGGAATTTCAGAATTATACAAAAAGGGCTTTTTACAGAATAAGACAAAGAGACTTGCCTGGGCCATGAAACACCGCTGTGAGAGGCACCCTGAACCAAAACGGATACTGCAGCATTCTGCAGTGCCATGCAATACCCTCTGGTATGCACCTAGTTGGTCAGGGGTTCATCCTACAGCGGGATAATGACCCAAAACATAATCCAAGCTATGCCAGAACTACTTGAAAACACGGAGTGTCCAGCACAGTCCTCCATACTTAAACCTCATCGAGCTGGTTTGGGATGAACTGGACAGAAGAGTGAAAGCAAAGCAACCTACAAGGTCCACATTTATGGGAACTTCTGCAACAAACAGATTGATTTCTATTGTAGAAAGAAAGCTACGGGTGTGTTCAGCTGTTATATCTGGTGGCTACTTAAAGGTTAGAATACATTTTGGTCTATGAATTGATTCCATGATTTCTTTTTGAACTCCAATTGCTTATTTGTACTATGCTTTCATTTCAGAGTGCAATCAGACATTAAACGGCATAATTGCTGGAAAAATCGGGGTGTTCTCAAACTTTTGACCGGCAGTGTATTTCGCTCCAGTCTCGAGCATAAATTATCAAGACGTAAGAAGTGAAGCACCTTTGTAACTGTGAACAATGAGAGTTAAACCTGAAGTTTCCCCTCTAATCCCTCTGTGCAGCACAGGTCTCTGACACGCCTGTCTGTCTGTTCCCAGATGCAGTTTTTTTTTCTTTAATTTTATGTGACAGTCTTTGTTTCACTTGTACATTATGTGATATATTACATTTGACGTGCAGTACTCAGAAATAATCCTTGTGCTTTTGTTTGAGATCTCTGACTGTATAATGTTTATGAAGGATTCTGTAACTCAACAAGCTGAGACGAGCTTATTTGTACAGTCTTTAATAACAGAGCTGCAGTTTTACAGGTAGACCAAGTTTTGATATCAGACACTGCCAGGTAAACAGTTAGGAATATAGCCACACAGATCACACGCATGGAGTCTGGTTTTGGGTAACTGGGCTTCCCGTGATCCTGTTCTAGGTCTGTTAGCTTCTGTTTAAAGATCTTTGGACAGAGGACCAATAAATTGCACATTTGGAGGCAGTTAAATCAGGTCCAGCTTGGAACATGAAAAAAATGAATTATGAAAAGAAATGTTAAAAGTTACACACGATAGGAAAACTAACAGTGTGTTTGTGTGTGTGCAGGTTGGTTCTATCAGAACCCCCAGTTCTACTTTGTTCTGTCAAAGGCGGACCAAAACCCCGACAGCGCTCAGAAGACCTGCTCCTTCGTTTTGGCTCTGATGCAGAAACACCAGAGACGAAGAGGCATTAGTCTAGCCATCGGCCTTCACGTATACCCGGTATAGTCACGCACACGGGGTCTGGTGTTTAAATGAAAGGCATAAACGTGATAAAAGTCCTGCCCAATGGCTCTTCTCTCTTTGGACTGACTTCCTGAATAGCGCAGTAGTTGCTATTATTTTTATTCCTATATGAAGGTATTATTGCGATATTTAGTTCAGCTTGGAAGCTGCTATTTCACAGAGCAGAAAGTGAACATGGACGGTTTTATTAGATAGTTTTATTCCTCTGAAATTTCAATCGATGTGCTGTTTATTCATATTAAGGTGCTTCTTTGGAGAATGATTACAGACTGCGAGGCTGTCAGACTGACTATATTTGAAATGTCATCGGTATGAAGGCGCAAGCAGATATTTTGAGGAAATGTCTCTTGCTTAGTTTATGGCCATATGTTGGAAAGCAGGTCTTTTTTTGTCAGGAGCCTGGATAGCTCAGTCGGTAGAGCATCAGACTTTTAATCTGAGGGTCCAGGGTTCAAGTCCCTGTTCAGGCGATGTTGCTTTTAATCTGTTATAACACTGTCAAAGGGCCTGTTGTACCAATGGATTTACTGAGTTTATCTGAAGATGGTTGAACAGAAAAGATATCAAACAGCTAACTAAGCAAACGCTTAACTCCTGGGTCATATGTAGCTAAAAACAAAAGTTGGAAACGTTCACCTGAAGAAGTTAAGGGACCCAGTGATCAGTAGTTTATATCAAAACGTGTTACCAAGGTGACTGCTAGGTGTTGAGACTTGCCCCTAAAAGGACGTCAATAAAAGCTGAACATATTTGGTTAAACTGTTTAGATCAGAAAGCGTCTGAAAAGCTGTTAAAGTCTTTCTAAACTGTACTTGAAGCAGTAACTGTGGATGAGGAAGGGCTGGTGTAAATGAGTGTGTGCTGTCTCTCCAGGCCCATCCTAAGAATACGTACCTGTCCCGTGAGGACCTGAGCGTGCTCCGCCCAGTCCTCCACAGCCCCCAGTATGTCGCACGGCGGGAGGTTGTTCTTCGTGGCTCGCTCCCACCGGGTTGCTACATCATCATCCCCTCCACCGCCGAGCCTAATCAGCAGGGAGCCTTCCTCCTGCGGGTGCTGGCGGAGCAGGGCAACAATGCCACGTGAGTCATGGAGTTCTGTTGCCGTCTTGTTGTTGTGTAAAACCGGATGTGGAGAGCGAGGGGCGGACCAGACTGTGAAAGCATTCATGAACGGCCTGTGATCGACAAGTCGTTAGCAAATGAGCACACCCTGAATAATGCTCTTTTCTGAAACACAGAATGAATTTACAAATTTAACTTCATTTTATATGAAATTTCTTTAAATGTATTTTTACTGTGGTCACACAGGAAGGGAGCTGGGAGGTGTTTTCCCATCGTTAGTCCTTTTGAATGAAAGTCACCAGAATAAAAAGCAGGTTTAAATGGAAGCTGACTTCTCTATATTTCTTTGATTGTTTTGGTTTTTGTTACAGACCAGCTCGAAGACCATCAACAGAAGACATCACATCAGTAACAGAGGTAAACCAATCAGCAGTTAATTTAATAGACTCAAACCAGTGCGAGCTGCAGATGTGAACTCTGATGGAAGTGTGTCTGTAGAGCCTTTAATATTTTGGAAGCTAAATTTAAGGTTTCTCTTTAGAAAAACTTTTATCCAGATTATTAGATTAAAGATTATGAAACAGAGGAGCACATAATTGCATTACTTGGAATAAGCAAAAAATAAAAATAAAGAAAAGAAAATATTTGTATTAAATGTCTTAAAAATGTTTGAATAAATCCATCTAGAAGTAACTTAGCAGCTGTCTGGTTGTGCATTTTGAAGCCTACCCAAATGTGGAGAGTGCAGAAGCTTTTTTTGGTGCTCATTAGGACAACAAATGCTCCTACAGTGCATTACATAGGTCCTCTGTCAGTTAGGCTTCAACTTCAGGCGCTGCTTTTTGTTATAGTGGACTGAAAATGACTGCGTTAAGTGCAGAAAACCTGCACATTTGTCTTAAAGCTAGTCCGCCTGAACAGGGACTTGAACCCTGGACCCTCAGATTAAAAGTCTGATGCTCTACCGACTGAGCTATCCAGGCCCTGCCTGAACTCAGAACTATGTGAATATTCACAAGTGGTGAATACGCTGGACTGATAATGAAATGTAACGAAATGCTGACGGTTTCTAAAAGACTGTCTAATCTAGGGTTTTGTCAACTTTCTCACCGACGGCACGTACACAGACACGCCGTCGGGGCTGAAAGCCGACAGCTCACAGATTTGGAAGCTGCAGGTTTTGTCTCTCTCCAACCAAAATTCACAGAACCAGCAGCAAATGAAGATCCAGACTATCCTTCATGTTTGAAAAACATCGTCATGAATTCCCTTAGTTTTGCGGTTTTGCTTCCACCGTGATAAAATAACGTGATAATGCACATTATTCTGCATTATTTGCTTGCTTATTACGCACCAGCTTATCGTCGTGTACACCGCAGTTGGTCATTGTTTTTTTTTTTTGTTCTTTTTGTTTTGTTTGTTTGTTTGTTTGTTTTTCCAAAAATGACTTCTGACAAGAAAGCCTCATTTCTGCTGTTTAATACCAAAGAAATGTAAACTTTTTAAAATGATGCCAATTTGCAAAACTTGTAGCTGCATCTGTAATCAAACCTCTGTAACTTTGCAGCATCAGGTAATGTTCAGATGTTGATTCATGGTTTTCTTCAGTTTTTGATCTACTGCAGAATATTTTTAAGGTTAGCTGCTATAAAAAACCAGGCCAGGAAAATCTCCTTCATGTTTTCCAGTTTTATTCTCAGTTATTTTGACATAAAAGCATCTGCTGTGATGCTCACACATCTGATGAAGTCTAACAAGTGTCAGTACTGATAAATTATCAGAATTATAATATTTCTGACTGTCTGAGTCAAAATTGAATCGAATCGGGACCTTGTGAATCGGAATCGAATTGATTATAGAAATCATTGACGAGACCCGTTCCCAGTGAGTGTCGAGCCAGATGGCATTAGCTTCCACTTTGAACCACATCATATGCTTTTTGCAGACAAGGTGGTTCTGTTGGCTTGCTCAGGTAGCGGCCTTCAGCTGGCACTGGAACAGCTGAGCTTGAAGCGGTAGGAATGAGAATAAGCGCCTCAAAATCTGAGGCCTCAGATTTCAGCTGGAAAAGGGAAAGCGGAGGAAATGGAGTATCTCCGGATCTTGTTTACGAGAGAGGGGAGTGGGGAGCAAGAGATTGACAGACGGAGTTGGCCAAACCTGAGCTAGAGATTAGAGTTTTAAAACACACATCGCCTGAACAGGGACTTGAACCCTGGACCCTCAGATTAAAAGTCTGATGCTCTACCAACTGAGCTATCCAGGCTCTCCTTCCAGCTGCCTGACAGCTGTTTGACGTTTCTGTGGTCTTGTAGTGGCCAGGTGAAGATTTTTGATCTAATAAAAGTATTGACAACTTACGAGGATGGAAATAAATAATGAGATATGCAGCGTGTTCATTTACTCTGTGTTTCTCCCGCCAGCTTTCATTTCCTCACCAAGCTGCCCTCCCTTCACCTCAGGCCATCAGACAGTTATTTCAGAAACACTGCAACAAGGTGAGATTGAAGCACACAGCTGCCTGTTCTTGCCCTGCCATTACTGGTTGATATAAGAGGTTTTAACAGAAGTAGTGAAACACTGACCCCTTTATGTCTTTTTTGTGTCATAAGAAGGGATTTTGCAAACCACTGCACCTCTACAAACTTCTGACGGAGGCCATTCAGGGTGGAGGTCAGTAATCCTGCTGTTCATCCTGCTTGTTCAGTCATATCTCTTTCAGCAGACGATTGTTTCAAAACTTCAGTCATCTGAACTCCGTCCAAAAAAGAAAAGTAAATAACCTCAAAAAGCTAGCATTATGCTAACTAGCCTCCAGGTTAGGTGATGCTGCTACTGAACTCCAACAGGTGCTGGTAAAAGCATAGACTGGATGTAAAAGATGGACATAGACTATTTTATTTTTAGTGGGGTGACCTGGTTGAGGGTGTAACATTGAGCATTACACCCTGATATAAAGCCCGTGGCTATTTAGAAATGATGGTGGCTCAGGAGCTGAGGAAGTCAGAGTTGGTCTGTGTACGCCCCACAACACGCAGAGCTTCTGCCAAAAACAAAGTTTTGGGTGATTTTTGCATTTTGCAGAACTGCTGCATGTCTACTTTAGAGTTTTCTCACCTACAGAGCCCCACACCCACCACTACTGAACTGCCTGTTTAGGGTTCATTAACATAACAACATCAGCATTCACACCAATGATTGGAGCGAGACTTGGCTGCGTCTACACTAATCCGGATAAATTTGAAAATGGTGTTTTCGTCTAAAAATGCTCCACACTATCGTTTTCAATGGTTTCTGAACAGCTGTTCATCCACACTGAAACGACTGAAAACGCTTACGTTCCTGTATTGCGCATGCGTGAAACGTAAGATGGTTTGACCTGCGTGATTTCCATCTGCTGTTTATTTACTTTTCCGTCGCGGCAAAATGTTGAGAAGCACCAAGTTTTTTAAATGGACTAACAATGAGGTGGTCGTTGCTGCGAGTAACACAAAAGTAGCAAAGTTGCAAAAGCGAGTGAGAATCAAGAATGTGAAGAAATCTGGAGCATGTACAGACTGATATTAATCTTTAAGAGAGCTGTCAGCGTTTTCAAAAAGCTCAAGTTTTCCTTGACCAAAAACGCCGTCTCAGTTTTCAATTTTCTCAGTTTGCGTTTTCAAACGAAGACGTATTAGTGTGGACATGGCCTTAAACATCTGTTGGTATTTACGGTGAAGAAAAACACCCAGCCTCACACACTGCTTTGGCCTTTTTACATCAGGTCTGTATGTCTGTGTTAAAATGTTCCCTCTGCTGTGTTCAGTGCTGGCAGGAAGTGAGAAGTACTTGGCTTTGGAGCAGTGCAAGAGCCTGGTGGTCCTCATGGATGTATCCTTAAAAAACACACAAGAGTGTGACACAGGCAGACGACCTGCGTGATGAGAGTGTTTGGAGTACTCGGTAATATGTCATAACCACAGCATGCAGTTTTTCTCTTTGTGAACATTTCCAAACAATTCCAAATTAGTGTTCATAGTTAAAAAGAGCATAAACCATTTACAATTGGCAGGTAAAAGCAAAAGAAAGAGGGGGAGAGGTGGAGATGTGTTTTTTTCCCTGCCCCATTAAAATAACTCAGCTGTCTGAGCACTGCAACAAGAGACTTTTGATCAAATGAAAATGTTTTTGATTCTAAAAAAAAGCTGTTTTATCACAAAAAGCCTGCCTCCTGTTGGAGTATCATGAGCTGGTTTTACACTTCAGCTCTAATAATATGCAATTATTTATGGCAGGACACCAGCTAGTTTTTATATAGTGAAGTTAATTGACATTAACTACAGCTGGTAGTGATTGAGCACCTTGATTTCAGAGAGCCACACCTGAACAGGGACTTGAACCCTGGACCCTCAGATTAAAAGTCCGATGCTCTACCAACTGAGCTATCCAGGCTCTAATGATCCTTTCACATGTGTGTTATAGGCAAGGAGCCGTGAGACCCCAGTAAAACGTCTGGTGTCCATAACTGAAAATAAGAGCTTTAGATAATGTGTAGAGAGCCACAGCTTTTAGTCACACTCACAGCCAAACCTGTAGAAAAGGATTTCAAAAGAAAATTTGTTTAAAGTTTATCATGTAATCAAAATTTTCTATAAGAAAACTACAGATGAATGAATGACTGTGAGAGCTGCAGGTAATGTCGAGCATTAATATAAGACCAAGATCGTCACAATTTCCCCCCCAAAAAATTGTTTTTGTGCGCAGAAGTCTAATCTGTGATGAATCCAAAGTC